CACAGCTATGTAATGAAGCCTCCATTAAAACAAACAAACAAACAAACAAACACGACAAGATGAGGTTCTGAGAGCCTGCTGATTGGTGAACATGCGGAGATTTGAGGAAAATGGAGAGTGGCGTGCCTGGAGAGGGCATGAAAGCTTCGTGTGCCTTCCTCTTACCGTGCCCTGCACATTTCTGCATCAGATTGTTGATTTGTATTCTTTATAATCCCTTGTAATAAATCAGAAATCTAGCGAATAAACGGTTTTTCTCAGTTCTGAGAACTGCTCTAGCAAATTAATCAAGCCCAATGGAGGGGGTGTGGGAATCTCTGATTTACAGCCGGCCAATCAAAAGCACAGGTAACAACCTGGACTTTTGATTGGCATCTGAAGCTGAGGGCAGTCCTGTGCGATTGATCCTTAACCTGGGGAGTCTGATGCTGTCTCCAGGTAGATAGTGTCAGAATTTACTTGAATTTTAAGATACCCAGCTGGTGTCCAAGAATTGCTTGTTGGAGTGGGACCCCCCTACCTTACCCCTGTCCTCCATTCGTACTGGATTTGGGTGCAGAACCCTTACTATTCTTGGAGGGATCCATTCTAAGACATACTTTAATACAACATTCACCATAGTGCTGGGGGAGGCAGGGCGATTTTACTCCCATCTAACTAATGAAGAAACTGAGGCTTGGACAGGTCAGGGACTTTTCCCAAAGTGGCAGAATGTAGATGCCTGACTCCCAAATCACGATTCTTTTCTCAATGGTATGCCTTGGTGCCTCCTAGGTTCCTGTCTAGTATGAGGGAGGAAACTGGGCTGCATTAGGTAAAGACCAATAAGGAACAAAATTTTTTTTTGCTACCTTCATTTTAGTTTTCAAGACTAGCAGTGGATTTGTTTAGGAAAAAAACAAAACACTTCCTCTTTGATTAGAACTATTTATTTTATTTTTTAATTAATTTTAGAGAGAGGAAGTGGGGGGAAGAGAGAGAGAGAGAGAGAGAGAGAGAGAGAAAGAGAAAGAGAGAGAGATTTATTGTTCTACTTATTTATGCATCCATTGGTTGCTTTTTGTATGTACCCTGACCAGGGATCAAACACCCAACCTTGGCATATCAGGTGATGCTCTAACCAACTGAGCTATGTGGCCAGTGCTGATTAAAACTATCGATTCCTGAATCGGTCATGGGGGCAGGAAGGGATAGTAGTCTTTTGGATAAGTTATTACGGGAGGATTAACTAGTGTCTTCGTTGATCTGCGGGTTGAGGCCTTCAAGAAAGTCACAGAATCATAGAATGCCAAATGTGGAGGGCAGCTTTGAGGCCATCTTGGCTAGTCTAAACCTTTCTTTTACAAGTGGGATAACTGAGGTCCCAGGAGGAAAATGTCCTCAAGATCATCAGGTAACATGGAAATTAGGATCTGAGGGAAAGCACAGGAAATCTAGACAATCAAGTCAGGTTGCGCTAAAATCAGGAATCTATGAGAACTTGTCAAATTAGGCACGGCAAATTAGAGCCAACTCTAGGTAAGAGATGGGGCTCCCCAGAACACCTTCAACCGAGCAAGCTCGTGAAGTTCTATCTAAACTTTGAGAAAAATAATTCAAGAGTTGGTTAGTGATGTCTGCCTTGGCACAGGACAGGTGAGTCCTATTATTCTGCCACAACACAAAAGACAAGGTCGAGAAAGCTGGGACTATGGTTAGCCCAAGTGGGAACCCACAGGCTGGAATTTGGGAGGATGGGAAAGGTAGATCACCACTAAAAAGCAATGCCTAAAGGCAGTGGCTAGCCTGGCATTGAGGCCACTCAGCTATCCTCAATTGCTTTCTTTCTTTACCCTTCTCTCAAGATTCTATCATACTGCTTTGGAATCCCAATAACCTTACAGAATGCAGACACACACTTTATTTCATACAGCAGGCAGTTAAAGCAAAAATTCTGGATCAAATCCTGCTTCAAATTTTGCCTCGAGCCTCTTATCTTACAGTACTAAAGTTGGCTAGTCCCACTTGAGTCTTCTGTTCCCCATATACAAAATAAAGAGCCAGGTCAGAAATTCTCAAAAAGCATGAAAAGAAACAATAGCTCCGTAGGATGGGAGCAGCTATTATGTGGAATAAAATAGGTTTCCATGATGATTTTCTTTTGGAATATTGCTGGATTAATAAAAACATTTTTTAAAACTGCAGGACTTCTCAGATTCTTTACTAGTAAAATAAAAATCACCTTAAAGTGATTTGAATAGGAAGAGTTCCCTAAATTCACTTGAAAACAGGAAATACACCATACAAGGTAGTCTCTAAAGGCCTTTCACCTGCAAAATGTTATAATTCTTTGCTGATTTCCTTTGAGAATAGATATATAAAGAGAAGCATAATCAATGACCGGCTCATTTTACTTCTCTCTTGTGAACGTGATATGGTGGTTGGTTTTTAACCACAGTGTTTAAGTGGTTCAAAGTAAGTGGCAACCACTGGGGTCCTTTCTTTAGTAGAACATTTGAAGATAAAATCAATTGGTTTGAAAACAGCTGAAGCAATTTGTTCCTAGCAGACTAGATTATGTCAGTGACTTTAATGATGTGATTGGCAAAATTGCAGAACAATGTTGATTAAGGTTTTTGTTTTTTAAACTAGTATTGTCAGCATAGCTGCTATGAAGGTTTTTGATCTGAAAGTCTTGAGTAGCCAAATCCTGCTCAATCTGTGTGAAGGGCTTAGTTTTGCAGCACAGTGAGGGGTAAAGCTATATGATAACATACACACTATTGGAGCTTCCACATGTGTGGCGGAGTTCTAGGTGCCTAACTCAAATGGTTCTCCATATGGGGGAGATATCCAGCCTAGAGCAACTTCAGCTGCCTTTTTCTGTCTTTAGAGACAGACTGTTCCTTCTTTCTCTACTCAAAAGAGGCCACACCTGTTTGATCTACCCTATTACTGGTTACAAATAAATGTAAACTCTTCATAACAATAGTTTTCATCCAAGACTATTTCAAGGTCAACACTGATATATAGGAATGAATGTGCAGTGACTATGAACCAGGGCATCAGCAAGATGGCCTATAAAATTAAAACATATTATCACACTTGGCCCCACTGGAGACTTTGATGGAAGAGATCTAAAGTGGGTGCAGCATCTGTATTTTGTTTTGTGTTGTTTTTAAAGCTTTACAGATCCAACCCACATATCCATCAATAGGAGACTGGAAACAAAAAGTGTGGTTTGCTCATACAATGGAAAGCCACTCCAATAAAAAAGAAATAGCTGTTCTTACTTGCAGCAACATGTACGAATCCCTCAGACATTAAGTTAGGGAAAAAAGCTAGTTACCAAAAAATATACAGTGTAGAATTCTATTTACATGAAGTTTAAAAATGAGCAAAGCTAGTATAGGGTATTAGAAATCAAAATTGTAGTTTCTATGGGGGGGGGGAGTGGGATTAATCACAAAGGGGCATAAGTGTACTTTCTGGGGGTGATGAAAATTTTCTGTACATTGTTGTGAGTGATGGTCCACACAGAGGCAAACAATTTCAAAACTTGAATCGAATCCTTAAGAGAAGTGCATTTTATTGTATATAATTTGTACTTCATTTAAAAAAAATAGCCTAACTTCCCCGAGTCCCCAAATTAGGGTCCTGTGCTAAAGTCCATGAAATGGACTAACCCAGGGGGAAGGGCCTAACCCAGCTCAGCCCAATTACAGTCAGACCAATAGGGACCACTTCCCTATTTTCTGCCTCATATCACAAAACCCTTCGTTTTCACTTATCTTCCATAATTCTCCACCCTTTCTCTCTCTTTTGGATAACAAAACTCTAGAGAACTCAACATACAACAACTAGCTTAATAATAAACCCATTGGTGTCCAGGAACTGTGCCTCTTTTCTGTCTCCATTTCAGTAGCCACATCTGTATTCTTGGAAGAAGTCCCTTCCCTGCTAGGCCACCTTGAAGAGACCTCTTATTGAGCACCTACTATGTGCTAGACCTCGTTGGCTCGCTCATCAAGGTTATGTCATTTTCTTTTTAAAACAACACTGAGATGTGGACCAATGTCACCCCAATAAATTTAATAGAAAAATAACCATGAGAAGTAGATATTTTTACTGCCCTCCCCATTTTCCAGGTAAGCAATCAAAAAGAGAAGATAAGTTACTGGCTCAAAAGTGATATCAGGCTGATAAGTGGAGGATGCAGGGTTGGAACAGTAACTGCACAACCTCTTAGCATTTAAGGCCTCTTTTCTTCCAGGGCATGAGAGAGAAAAGCAGAGATGGGCATTGGAAGGAGAGAAATAGTAGAGCGTAAAAGGGGCAATGGTCCTCCCCTGACAATGCTTTTCATGCCCAGTGGCCAGAAATCAAGCTAACCAGGCCCCCCACACCCAGGCAGTCCCATGCTCTCTGGCTCACCCCTGCTGGGAGCTTAGAAGTAGCGGCCTCGGGGCGATTTTCATTTGGTATAACTTAGAAAACAAGAAGGAAGCAAGTGGGGGATGTCAAGATGTCTTTACTTTTCGGATTCTGGCTCTCTGAGCTCAGAGGAGTGGGTTCCCGCACGGGGGTGGGTGGCAAGGCATAGGGAGAAGCATTGGAACAAATTGAGAGAGAGAGAGAGAGAGAGAGAGAGAGAGAACGTCTGTGCGTGGAGGGGGGATTGCTGTACTCAGCGCAAGGCACCGGGGGAGGAAGAAGCTGTAGCGGAGGAGCTCTGAATAATTGATTCTTCAGCCGCACCAGACGACCAGGAGCGGGCGTAGAGCGTGGTTTCAGCACCACGGATAGCGGCGCGCGCCACCGCAGGCGCCCCCGCTGTCAGCCAGCCACCTATCCTGGCCTTGTCGCCAGCGTGCGCTCTGGGAGCGGGTAG